TCATTTTACTTTATCGATTTTGTAGTTCTTGGTAGTTATTCATAAATAAAGAAAACTTTCGTAAATAAATTGTATTGATTTAGAACACTTCTTCTTAATCGCTGATATGTATATACTCAAATAAGAAATATACATATTTGAAAATTAAATAATTTAACATAAAATCGTGATCTATACATTTTAGTTATTCTAGGATTTATCTTTAATAGGAAATATTAGTATTTACTAATAAAAAGGAAAAAATATGTGCACCATAGATATAATCGTTTAAAACCCTAAAAACCACGGCTTTATATACGATCGTAAGCTTACGATAATTCTCTCACCCTTCTAGGCAACTAATAAAAAAAAAGAAACCATTCTATTAGCTTATAATTATAACTCGATTTCTCAATAGGGTTAAATCACAATGGGTACACATAACGCGAAGATCTCATGTGACGTCTTGCTTGATTCATCCTCTATTGCTGATAACAATGGTAACTTAATAGTTTTCGTTTTTATTTTGCTTATTTTTAATATAATAAACTGAAGTTTATGCTTTTACGTGAAAATTTATCTTAATTTTTAAGCCATTAAAAGATTGTCGTTAATCTTTTGTTATACTATAAATTCTTGCAAAGAGACATTTTCGTTTTTGCTTATGATGTTTGGAATAAAAATCTAAATACAATTTTTTCTTATCTTTCAGTTCTTCATAATACTGTTGATCGAACTTCATCACTTGAAACGGCATTCGAGAGATTACACCTCTATCAATCCTCTGATCGTCTCCCTAAACATCCTTCAAGATTGTATAATATTCCACATATTAACGGTATGAGTGTTATATTAAAAAAATAAATAAAAACTCATTGAATGATAAATAAATTATATATGTCTTATTATTTATAGATACGTCCAAAATACCTTGTGGTTTAAGAAAGAGGAGTGGGCCACGAGAATTGGGTTCTAAGGTGTTTGGGTTTGGAATATTGTATTCTGAATCAGCTCATGGAGATCGCACAGATGTTCAGTCGGGTTTGTGGGATGTGCCCTGTCATCTAATCAATGAAATTGGTAAAAAATTCCTATAGTAATATCTTTTTCTGTTAGACGTTACAAATATTTTCATAATTTGGTTTGATATAGGACCAGATAATGAATTCGAACATGACATGATTAGCGACTCAGCTAATAGAAGCATTGGTGTTTGTAATGAACATGAGCAAAACGGTAAGTCTCTTGATCAGAACAGTCTTCAAGTTGATAATTTATTAAACATCTATATAGAGGGACGACTAATATATCAAAAATGTATAAATATATATATACGAAGATCCTACTGGTGCTGACCCTGACGAATCAAATTACAAAAAAGATGATCCAACTGATGGTGATCGAACTGACGACATTGGTGATGGCGACATTGTAACCGATAACAAAGGTGATGACAATGATGGTGATGATAGCGGTAGTGATCAACCGGATACTGATAACAATGATGATGATGACGACTGGTATGATGGTTGCGATGACGAAGAAGAAGACGAAGACAGTGATGATAACGATGGCGACGAATATGATGACGAGGAAGATGACGAAGATAGTACTGATAGTGATGATAGTGATGAAATTGACGAAGAAGACGAGGACGAAGAAAGTGATGATTGTGAGGAAACCGATGAAGAAAATGAAGACGATGACTATGATAAGACGAACGAATTGTCTGATGGTTGTGATGAAGAAGGAGACGAGAACGAGAGTCATGATGATGTTGATGAGAAAAATGAAGAATACATGAGTGATGATGTTGATGATATTCGGAATGATGCATCGGCAGTGAAAACCGAATGTTCTGCTGATCTTCAGCCCAAACGTCCATTGGGAAAAAGACTATATCTCAACTATGATTTCCATGGAACATCACAAAATATTGTGGATGGTATCTTTGTTAAAGCTCCCCCTAAGCGCATTTGCGTGCGATGTAGGCTCTTTACTTCAGATTCTGAAATTGATAATGGTGATGAATGTTCCAACGACTCCTCTTCAAATACAGCTATGGTGTCTCAAGAGATTCAAGCGTTTCCAATAAAAGTCATACATCTAACCGATGGTCCCTGTGAATTTGAGATTAATGTTAAAGTTTTGAGAGTTTGGACTCATAGTTTGCACCCATCTGAAAAGCGTCTCGGGGCTGTGCTATGTGATGACCTGGTTTGTTTACTATATAGTCCAGTTTTATATATTTACATTTATAATATTTTTTTAACATATTACTATTGTGATAATTAGACTTTAACAATTTATATCATATGCTAGGGTGATAAAATACATGCCACTGTACCAACCGCATGCTATGCTTTGTTTGAAGACCAGTTTCCTGTTGGAAATTGGATTAAGATTCGCCGTTTCCAGGTTGCTCATGTCTATGGTGTTTTTAGGACAACTTCGCGTCGTTTTGAAATAGTTTTGGGTTCACATACTGTCGTAGATGGTGATAGTTTTCATTGCAAATGGAATTTTTTCGATTTTATCGACTTCTGTGTAATCTTGAACCGTACATACAGTGACGAATTTTTAGTTGGTAAGTATGTTGATATATGATTTATATTTTTTTTAAGTATAAGAAACAATAATGAGCTTTCTACTGTCTTTCGTTTCAGAAATAATTGGCCGTGTTATAAACGTTGGCAATTTTCATTCCTGGGAAGGTTATACTTTGGACCAACTGGAGGAAAAGTGCATTGATAGCGAATACCAGTTTATCACTTTCTACTTGGAGGATTTAAGGTTTGTATTCCCTGTTAAATGTTTTCTCGAATTTAACTATGTGATCAATTATAAAAATACAAGCATATATAATTTTCTGCTAATTATTTTGATCATGTAGACACGTTCGTCTCTTTTGCAAATTGACTGGCATAAGAGCTTTAAAGTTCTATAAGGACTGGCGTAGTTGTGATAGCCAAAATGCTGTTTGTGTAATCAGATGGGGAAATATTGATTATCTTGGAGGTATGTCAGTTGCATATATAAATTAATGTTTGAATATGCGTGGTATAAATTTAGTATTTTACTTCCTATTTCAGGAAAGGTAATGATTTCGGCTATTCAACCAACATTGGTAGTACTGAACCCACATGTTGCAGAAGTCGAAGAATTCAGAGAAAAATATGGCCTGTACATACCTTCCTATGTATAGTATATATAATATCATACATAACCTTTTTTATTTATGTTGTTTTATTTTTATTACGCAGGATGATTAGCAGTCGAAGCTATCGTCTAGAGAATGTTCACCATCGAGATTAGATAGATACAATATTACCCCTATTCACTATTCGTATTTTAAATTTATGTTTTAGGATACATTTCATAAGGTTTTTGGTTTTTTAAAGTGTTCTTCGAATTCTTCATCTTCATTATATGTGAAGTTAGTATTTCATAATTATAATTATTGTTTTCGAATCATTTATTATCAATTGTTTCTCGACTATTGCCTATACATGTTCCATATATATATATATATATATATATATATATTTTAAGTTAAAGTATCTTTCATAAACATGCGTATACAGTATATATATTTATATCCGAGTTGAAATTCTCAATGAAATTCATATATATCGCTATTGTTACATATATTAAAATTGCCAATGATTGTACTCATCATACTCGAGTGTCTTTTCCTTCTTTGTAGTATTTACAAAAAATAAAAACTTATAAATTATGGAAATTATGATTATTTAAATGAAATTAAAAAAGTATAATATACGGTTATAGTTCGAAATATATTTCTAAAAAAAAAATGAAAAAGGATTTTATAAATAAAAGGAAAATGTACAAAAGATGCTAATTTCATTATCATTATAATGTTTGTTTTATGCTTATGTTAAAATGACTGAAAACATAATTTCACGCAACTGATTTTTGTATAAAAATAACAAATATACTTATATGAGAAATGGAATAAGTAAAATTTACATTTAAATTATGTAAAGTCTTAAAATTGAACTCGATATATAGAAATCAATAAAAGATACGATACTCTATTTATTTGCATCGATGCAAAAGACCTAGGGTTTTTATCAATTCCTATATATATATATATATATATATATATATTTATGTACGACTGATTAATCTTCCTCATTAAATCGGTTCAAGAATTTTTGGGGAAAAGAAGAAGATGGAGTCGTCAATAGATAATAGTGTTGACACTAAGAAAGTTGTGAAGTCCTATCTCAAGCGGAAAACAATCGTCTCTGCTCTGATAGACGAAATTGATAGAACGAGTGATCGTTACAAGATAAAGGTTCAGATAATCAATCTCTGGAAATCATATCGTAAAAATAATGTTACATCCATAGAGATGGTATTAGCAGATGAAGTGGTAGGCAATGTTAATGTTTTATATCTATATATATGAACATGCATCGTATAGTAAAATTATGATATGAATAACTTATATATTAATTAAGTTTTTGACTATATCAGGGTTCTAGGATTAACTGTTGATGGAGATTTGGTGGAGCAATTTAATTCTGAATTGACGGAAGGCCGTACTATATTCTTAAGCAACTTCACGTTCAAAGATTACACTACTGCATATAGGATAAGTCCTTTATCTTTTAAAATAAGTATTTACAGGACTACTGTTATAACACCTTGTGATGACTTTCTTAGAGAACTTCCTTATAGATATTTTAAGAGCAGCTCCAGTGGTGTAACTGAGGTTGAGTCTCTTTAGAATATTTTAATCATTTTTTGTATTATTTTATAATTTATTTGAGAAGGTGATATGTGAGAAGAGATTCATTATTTTTTGTTGTCCATTAGTGAACCCTTAGGTAAGTTTCTTTAGTCATTAAAAAACTCTTTTTTGTTTTGTTGAACATAATTTATAAAAAACGTTTTTTATTAAAATTGGAAAATACATACTTAAACAAACATATTATTATTACAGAAACAGAAATTTAAGACATACAAATTACAGATATTTAAAACATAAGCGGGTTAGTCATCGTAACTGAATGTATGACCAAATTTGTTCCATATATGTTCAATAAGGTCCGCTTTCAATCGGTCATGTATTTGGTTGTCTCGTACTTCATTCCGAATGCCGATCATATTAGTCAGGTTTGTAGGCATATTTCTGGAATACGACATATCCACGTGTGAGGCTCTGCTTCCATCTACTTGTTGGAATTGTGATATATCACACAGACTGTAGGAACCTCGTTCATCTTCTACAATCATATTGTGCAAGATGACGGCTGCTCTCATAATCTTCCCAATCTTTTCTTTATCCCACATCAGAGCTGGATTTTTAATAATAGCAAAACGAGCTTGCAAGACTCCGAAAGCACGCTCGACATCCTTTCGAACGGATTCTTGCATTTTAGCAAACATTCGATGTTTCGGTTCTTGTGGAAGACGAATGGATTGTATGAACGTTGTCCATTTTGGATAGATCCCGTCAGTGAGGTAATAAGGCAACTTGTATTGGTGTCCATTGACGGAATACCTCACTTTTGGAGCACGGCCATGTAATATGTCATCAAAAACAGGTGAACGGTCAAGAACGTTAATATCGTTTAAAGTACCTGGGGGACCAAAAAAAGCGTGCCATATCCAGAGATCGTGTGATGCAACCGCCTCTAAGACGATAGTTGGTTTCCCCGATCCGCGTGTATATTGCCCTTTCCAAGCGGTATGGCAATTCTTCCATTCCCAATGCATGCAATCAATGCTCCCTATCATTCCGGGAAAACCGCGTGACTCTCCTTCATCCAGTAATCGTTGGAGATCTTCTGGTGTGGGTCTCCGTAGGTACTCATCGCCAAATAATTGTATGATTCCATGAGTGAAATTTTCAAGACATAAAATGGCAGTAGATTCACCTAAACGGAGATATTCGTCAACCGCGTCTGCTGCACAGCCATAAGCCATCATACGTATAGCGGTCGTACACTTCTGGAGAGCAGAGAGACCTAACCGTCCGGTAGCATTTCGTCTTTGTTGAAAATATGGAACTTCTTGAGATAGACGATCCACAATCCGCATGAACAATGGTTTGTTCATTCTGAAACGACGACGGAAGACAATTGACGGATATGTAGCATCTTCAGTAAAATAGTCATTCCATAGCTGGTTATGACCCAATTCACGTTCTCTCTCAATATAAGCTCGTTTCTTCTTCTTTTTTTTGGCTTCCCGGCGAGCTATAAAGGCGTCGAACATATTGTCGCATTTCTCATCGAGTATGTCATCTAGATAATCATCATACACATTATCTAAATCATCGTTTGTTGATGATGAAGCCATCGTTGTGTGGTAAGTAATAGAAAGGGAGATATAGAGTAATAGAAAGGGAGATATAGAGTAATAGAAAGGGAGATGTAGAGTAATAGAAAGGGAGATGTAGAGTAATCGAAGTAGTGAGAAGGTACGTAAATAAATTTGAGAGAGAGTGTAAACAAAACATATTGCCTTCTCGCATATATAAATAACTTTGAGAGAGAGTGTAAACAAAACATTTTGCCTTCACAATACATCACTCGTGACAGAAGTAGCCAAAAGAATACAACCCCACATGTTTAACAACAGAACTCGTGACACAAGTGACCAAAATCTTGTTTGTGCCAATAATACAACTCGTGACATAAAGAACCAACCTCCTAAAACCAGCTACATAACTCGTGACACAAATTACAAATCTCCTAAAACAAAAAAGTCGTGACACACATAATAAACCCAAATAAAATTCACCAGCTCTTGATACACATGTCTGTTGTCCTTGTCTTCGAACCCTGAAATGATGCAACAAATATCTATTAAGCAAAAAACATGAAGTTCATGGCAAATGCTCAAAGATGAAAGTCATGAAAAAAAGATAAAAACATACATATCAAGCAAGCAACTCAGTAATCAACTTCATCTTAAGTGCTTCTTCGACATCAGATAGAGGCCCAGCCTTGGCTAAGAGACTGTTTAGTGTTTTCTGCGACTCAAGCTTTGACCGTGCATCCAAATCTTGTTTCTTCAGCGCGTAGACTGACTGCAGCTCGAGCAGATCCTTTCCATCCTCTTTCCCACCGTAGGCTTTTTTGGATTTGGCCTTGGCCGCCTTCACTCCCGGTGGTCTAGCCGCACCTTCACTTTCACCATCCACAGGGCTTGGTGACTGAGTGGAACCTTCATCACACTTTTTCCTTTTCCCCGATCCATTGTCTTTGCCACTAGTTGCTCTGCACCATTTCTGGTCATGCCTTAACTCTCGCCATGCATGTTCTAAAACAAACTTGAACTTCTGGTCATTGAAAAAGATTTCATGAGCAGCTTTCATTACATCATTCTCATTCTGCCCGCTTGTTCTCTCTTTCATGGCTGCCTCATAACAACCAACGAATTTGCACACCTGATCATTAATCCTTCCCCATCTCTGTTTGCACTGCCCTATTTCCCTTCTCGGATATTCACCAAGCAGTGGTGATGAGTTGTAGTACAAAATGATCCTCGACCAGAATGCTGCCGCCTTTTGGTCGTTCCCAACGACTGGGTCTTTTGATGTATTGAGCCAGGCACTGATGAGGATGACGTCTTCTTTCGGCGACCACTTTCTTCTCTCAGGCGTGTTCTTCCCTCCTAAACTTGGATCATCAGTAGTTTGTGTGCTAAACACAGGGACTTCTGCTGACCCAAGATCTATCACAGGCGTGTAAACATCATTAACTAGCTGGCTAGTTAATAAGTTCACAAAGCCTTCGGTTTGGGTGTAAGGGTTTTGGGAATCCATGAAAGCAACGTGTAGAAAGAGGTAGGTTTAAGTTTGGGTGTAAGGGTTTTGAGGGTTGTATTCGTGTTTTAGGATTAAGTGTAACGTGTTTTATAAATAAGTTAGCAGAAGCTGTTTGAGAATTTAGTGTTTTGGTACATGAGTTTTCATTTAACTCATCACAAGTTTTTAAATACAAACTGTTTTAAGAAGTCATTTACTAACGCATACCTAACAAGCATTCATAACAAGTCATTTACCTAATCTAAGCCCATACCTAGGAAGCATTCATCACAAGTCATCTCACATACCTATCCAACTAACGAATGCATTGAAGAGTACAGCATTTATCACACAAACTAACGAAATAAGGTAGAAGCTGACTAACCTTGATGGAAAAGACTGGCTTGCAGCTTCTAAAACCGTCATTCCTTTCTCCCACCATTTACCCTCACAAAACAAAACACAAGCGTAAATAAATGCATTTAACTCTATTACCTAACAAAAAAGTAGCATTTAACACAAAGAAGACTGACTCTGCACGCGACCATAAACTAAACAAGCAGTAATGATAATCAAACTATCAAACCAGTCATTACAAGAAAACTCTGTTCGTACTAGGGAAAAAAAGAAGATGAACATAAAAAGAACAAGAGACTTCTGTTCGTACTATGTAAAAAAGAAGATAAACATAAAAAAGCAAGATGAACACAAAAAAATAAGATCATCACGAACCGATGATGATCAAACTCTATCTTTACTCAAGATCAAACTCATTCATGATAACATAGTTCAACCAGACATCGCATAACAATTACCCATATGTTGATAAAACCCAAATCATATATAAACCGATAAAAGAGAAACAATCAGAGGATGAACATAATCAAACAACTCGGATTCAACCAACTAGCCTAAACCGATAAAACAGACACAAACAGAGACAAAGAGACACATTTTGATTCACCTAACTACCCTAATTTGAAGCAGATCAAACTTGGAAAAAAAAATCCCCAATCGCCAAACCCTAATTTACAAATTCGATTCACCAAAATAGCCTTAAATCGGCTTCAATGACTGTTTCGAACTACCGATGTAAGATATAATCAACCAATCAACACATAACTACATCATTTCAACTTTGCAAAAATTTTCCCCAAATTTCAACGAACCCTAATTTACCCTAATCGAATTTCAAACCGTCAATCAGAGGAGTAATCGGATTGTTACCTGTAAAGAGAGATGTACTGGATATCCGCCGAGTTTTACATCATCGGAGCCTGGTTGAACCTCCGATTTGATCTCCGACAAGCGAAATCGCCGTTCGATCGAGAGAAAGGAGAGAAGTTTTTTTTTTGCCCGATAAACACGAAATGATTTTCTCTCCACATAAAAATTTCATTCGCAAAAAAAAATAAAACAGCCAATGTCCTTCGTCCACGTCACCGACGAGATCGTCTCGTCCGCCTCGTTGCAAAGGATCGATCCATTGCAAATTTTGGGCTTCTCAATTTTTTTAAAACCATTTCACCTAGGTTTCTGGGCCAATTTTCCTTAACGAGCCCCTGATGGAGCTGGTCTAAGGAATTTTCAACTATAAGTAATGGGGATTATGACAACAGTGTTTTAATAGGTATGCTAGATATATGTTGTTTATTATATTTATCGAGTTATACTGTGATATAATACATCTTATCTGTACTAATTTTTTATAAATATTCATGTAGATGTCATAGGGCAGGTTGTTAGTCTAGAAACTTCTGACGTTATCGCTCAAAGAAAACCAATAAAAAAGTTGGACGTTGTTCTACGTAATGCCAGGTGAGTTCATAATGATATAATTTATTAAATAATATTTAGTCAAATCATATATAATTTAATTAGTTTGTTGATTATGTATAGTGATAATCACTTGACTTGCACGCTGTGGGGAAATTTCGGAAAGAAAGTAATCGACTACGTGACGAAAAATACTGCGTCTGTGATCGTGTGTGTTGTTAGATTTGCTTCAGTATCAGAATGGAAAGGTATATTTGAACTTAAGTGTATTGATAATATTTGTGATATAAATAAGTTTATCATATACGCTTTTTTAGAAATTTTAAATACTTTACTTCTAATTACTTGTAGGAGTTACAGTATTTCAAACTCTTTCAACGCAACACAAATATTTCTCGATCCACATTCTAAACAAATTGAAGATTTTCGAGCCTTGTAAGTAATGAAATCTGTTTGTTTGTGTATACTTTTAGAGCTATCATGAATACTAAAAGGAATGACTTTTGTTAGGTTGCCAACCAATACATTTGTGATATCCAATGAACATAAGGTGCAATCATCGTCCACTAACTCTGTTTCATGGAAAGATGAATTCTTTGATAGAAATGAAAGAAAGACAATTCAGGGTATTGTTTATGCCGATACGGTACGTGTTCATTAAGTTTATTTTAAATTTATACATAATAATTATTTTTTTTATATATTTGAGAATGATCTTTTTTTTATATTTAAATCATATATCGAGTGTAGGAAATGAAATGTGTTACTGCTGCGACAGTTGTTCGAGTCGAATATAATCCTATATGGTATTATATTGCATGCAGATTTTGCGATAATACAGTTCATCCAATAGAATCTGATTCTACCGATGACGATTCTTTGCTATTTGATTGTAGAGAATGTGGCGAAGCTGTCTCAGATGTTATAGCCAGGTAAATGGTTCATTGATTCAAAGCAGTTATTAGAAATTTTTTTAATTTTTGGCTTTAAAAATATTCATATTTTCATAGGTATAAGTTAGTGTTGGTTGTTTCCGACGAGTCTGGCGAAGAGATAAGATTCTTACTTTTGATAAAATCGCTAGCGCATTTCTCCGTGTTCAAGCAGATACTTTAGCTGAGGAGGTTGCTGAGGTATATCATTTTATAATACTTTGTGCACATTATCATATAATCTTATATTATTTATGTGTAATGTCTTTTTATATTTTGATCAGGACGGAACTTTGGTGCTTCAACGAGCTCTTTCTGATTTGGTTGGGAAGAAGCTCCTTTTCAAAATCGGAATAGGAACGGAGAATCTGACTAACAGACGTCAAACTTATAAAGTCGAGATCGTTGTCGATGATGCAGATATGTTGAATAAGTTTGAAAATCATGGAATTCGGTCCCTCGAACATGATTTAGAACTTAGGTACTCAGGTAGAGTTGCATCACTGACACCATCGCCAGTATCAAAACGAGTTTCAGATTCAGCCGTTCAAACGCCTAATGTTGACGAAAAAAGTAATAGCAAGAAAAGAGGAAGACGGCAATGAACAAACACATACGTTGAAATCTTCGAACTGATATTCTTATAATTCTCGATGTTGGTTTTTCTTTTTTGGTTTTTTATATACTTTAGTACTGATATTTATGCATATTCGAATTTATGGTTTGTTTTTTTTAGGATGCATTATTGATTCAAAGAACGAAAAATTCAAAACAAGTACTTAAATCTCTATATAAATTGCGAAGTAACACAACTTACTTTATTGTGAAATATTACAGTTTGTGCATATATGCAATTTTATATTTTAATATTATCATAGTTTCTTAAATTAACACATGAAATCGTCAAAGTATGTAAGATATCGATTATTCTATTAATATTAAATATTTTATAAACTTAAACTCAAAAAAAAGACAAAACATAAAATGTTAAATTAGGTTTGTTTCAATAAAGAAAAAATGAAAACCCTACAAATTATAGGAAAACCTTACATATGTTTAAATAGTGTTTCTCATGAACGTATTTTAATATCGTACAAAAAAGAAAAAGAAAACCTAATCAGAAACTATGTCGCCGAAGAAAAAGAGAATAACGAAACCTAGGGTCGTTAAGATACCTGTTGCAAATCGTCGTAAGTGTTTCTGTTTCTTTGAAAAAAATGCATGTATTGTTACTTTTGATATGCCGCTGAAACACCTTTCATCCTTAATACAGCAATCGTTTCAAGGGCAGAAACGTATGCACCAACGTTACCAAAATCAGTTTATCATCAATACATTGATATAGAATCTATTGGACGTGTTGGTATGGCTAAAATAGCCAGACAAAACAGACTGAATATCATTCGATCGAAGCATGGTTTACCAACAATAAATAATTCAAAAGGTTATGTTGATTAAATACAATTTTATATTGATTTATATTAAATATATGAAACTAACTTCATCTGATTTTCTAAATTTATAGATATATTGACAGAGTCCGTTGATGTCGATGATGTTCTATGTTTTGTCGCTACTGATTCGGACACGGACGATGATAAAGATTCAGATGCTGTTCCGCCAAGTAATTCGAACAAACGACGACCAAGACAAAAAAAACCTAGACCACCGAATTATCCTGAATATAATTCATTCGCGAGTTTTGGCTTGATGGAAAGTGGTACAAATCCAAACAAATTCCCTTTTATTAGTATATATACAAGTTATTATATTTTAAAAATTTAAAATCAATGATAGGTTATTATGATGATGGTGATCAATCTTACATGTGTGACTATTGCCATGCTTTAATGTGGTTTGGAGAACGTATAAACAAGCACTCTCTATCTTCTACTCCAGTTTTCACGATGTGCTGTCTAAGTGGCAAAGTTCAGCTACCTTTATTGAAAGCTCCCCCAAATACGTTGTTAAAGCTATTGTATAATCGCGATAACACGAGGAAACACTTCCGTGAATTCATAAGAGCATACAATATGATGTTTTCGTTTACGTCACTTGGTGGAAAGGTTGATAATAATATAAACAACGGTAATGGTCCGTATTTATTCCAAATGTGTGGTGAAAATTATCATTTGATCAGAGATATATTACCAGCACCTGGCAAACAACCAAACTTCCTACAATTATATATCCATGATACCATCAACGAAGTTAAAAATAGGATGAATGCTTATGGGTAATCTTCGATTTTTATTATAATATAATATTATTATTTATCTATATCAATATAGTGTTTCATTTTTATAAATAATAATAGTTTCAAAATGACTGTTCAGGGATGTTGGTAATTCGAGGAAGCTGAGAGCAGATATCGTGGAGCTTCTGAAGAAGATGTTAGATGATCATAATCCTCATGTTAAAGCCTTAAGAACTGCACGCGAACAATTTGTTGGGAATCCAAATTCTAAAGGTTTTAAGTTGGTTCTTGCAAGTGGCCAAACTACTGATGGTCGAACGCATAACTTACCTACTGAGAACGATGTGGCGGCTTTGATACCTGGTGATTTCAATATGTTAACAGAAAAAAAGAGACATCGTTATTCAAAGCAAGTCTGGAGGTTTATACCCTATAAGTGAGTTGCATCCGGCTTATTTACCTTTGCAGTATCCGTTATTGTTTCCGTATGGTGAAGATGGTTTTAGATTAGGTATTGATATTGGCTATGTTGATACATCTGGAAGGAAACGCACAACCGTTACAATGCGCGAGTTTTTCGTATTTCGCATTCAAGACAGGCATGGAGAATCCCCAATCATTATGATGTCTGGGAGATTGTATCAGCAGTTTCTGGTTGACGCATATACGATGGTAGAATCAAATAGGTTTCGTTATATATGGCATAATCAAAAGAAGCTACGGTGTGACAGCTTTGATAAGATTGAACAATCTGGTGAACGTGGCAATAATGATCTTTCTGAACAAGGAAAAAAGGTGCTTATACCTGCTTCATTCACGGGAAGTAAGAGATTCATGAGAAAACATTATCTAGACGCGATGGCAACATGCAAGTACTACGGATACCCGGATTTTTTCATAACAATTACTTGCAATCCAAAATGGCCTGAGATAACGAGGTTTTTGGAAAAACATGATCTAAAGATCGAGGATCGACCAGATATTTGTTGCAGGATTTTTAAAATGAAGCTCGATAATTTAGTGAATTATCTAACGAAAGACCACGTTATGGGCCACGTTAACTCAGGTATGTCAAAAAGATTAAATATAAGTAAAGAGTCATAATATATAAATCGTGCCAACTTATACTTAACGTATAGGTACTAATTCGATTTATTATATGTATTTCTAACTTTTTCTAATTGTTTTACTTTTATCTCAACGATGTATACCATTGAATTCCAAAAAAGAGGATTGCCACATGCCCACATGGTTGTTTTCTTGAAACCCGAATCCAAACTACCAACAGGCGAGGACATAGATAGATTTATATTAGCAGAGATACCGGACAAGGACTTGGATCCAATTTTGTACGAAATTTTTGGAGACTTGATGATACATGGACCATGCGGCGATGACAATCCAAAAAATGTTTGTATGCATGAGAAAAGGTGTACAAAATTCTTTCCTAAGCCTACTGGATCAGTTACTAAAATCGATGATGCTGGCTTTCCCATCTATAGACGTCGTATGGATCAAAGAACCATTCTGAAGAGGGGTGTTTTGTGTGATAACCGATATGTTGTCCCATATAATCCAGATCTCTTAAAGCGTTTTCGGGCACATGTTAACGTTGAGTGGTGCAACCAAACCAGGTCTATAAAGTACCTATTCAAATATATAAACAAGGGTCCAGATTACATTAGAGCAGCAATCGAGGATGAAGACGGTAACCCCGTTATATCCCAAGATGAGGTTGAGCAACATTTCAATTGCAAGTAACTTTGCGAAACTAATTTTTAAGATTAGATCGCTTGAATAATTACTTAAGTATGATTTAAAAAAAACAAGATTATTTATTTCTGTTTGATTTGCTCATTCTTAGATACATTTCACCGTATGAATCTTCATGGAGGCTTCTAAAGATTCCTACACAGTACCGAACCACGGCAGTAATGCAACTTTCGTTTCATTTGCCTGGTAAACAAATGTGTATATATCACGAAGGAGAGAGCGTTGACCAAGTCTTAAACAAGGCATCGGTAGGTCAGTCACAATTTATAGCGTGGATGGAGGCAAACAAGGAACATGCCTTGGCAAAGGAGCTAACATATGCTGATTTCCCAACAAAATTCGTCTGGATCTCAAAGCAGCGGCAATGGAGGATACGAAAACAAGGTTTTGCCATAGGCAGACTGGTGTATGTCTCACCTTCCGCTGAAGACGCATATCATTTGAGGATTCTTCTCAATATAGTCAAGGGCCCTGAGAGTTTTGATGACTTAAAAAAGGTTAATGGTGTTATATACTCTTCCTTCCGAGAAGCATGCTTTGTGCTTGGTTGGAATGCTACTTGGAAAATATTAACCGAGGATTTCTTATATCAGAAAAGGCGTGAAGAGAATGACCCAGGTAAGATGGATTTGAAATTTTAAACTATTTTACAAGATTCACATTATCTTAGTTGCTAACAGACTTATTTGTATATCTAGGTTTGGTGTTGACTGAAGCCCAATATAAGAATCTTGGTTTGTCAGATATAGAGAAGTATATGCGCAGAAACGGTCATTCATTATCCGACTATAAAGGAGAGATGCCAGTCCCTGATGATATTGGAAAGTCTAAGAAATCAAATCATCTAATTCGGGATGAGAAATCATACGATCGTGCAAAACTTGCAAACGATCATGTCAAGTTGTTTTCAACAATAACCAATGAACAGAAGGATATCTACAATGAGATAATGGATGCAGTTACAAGAGGTATCGGTGGAATGTTTTTTGTTTATGGATATGGTGGGACAGGTAAAACGTACCTATGGAGGCTTTTAGGCGCTGCTCTTCGTTCTCAAGGAAAAATAGTTCTCAATGTTGCATCAAGTGGCATTGCAGCATTGTTATTAGAGGGAGGAAGAACAGCGCATTCTCGGTTTGGAATACCCATAGTTGTGAACGAGTACACATTCTGTAATGTGAGTTCTGGATCACACCAAGCAGAGCTGATTGAAGCAGCCGATCTTATTATATGGGATGAGGCTCCGATGATGAGAAAGCATTGTTTTGAGACATTGGATCAGACTATGCGTGATATACTAAAGTGTGATAAGGTCTTTGGTGGAAAGGTCGTTGTCTTGGGTGGTGACTTTCGACAAATACTCCCTGTTATTGTCGGAGGCAATAGCTCAGAGACTATATTGGCAACTGTGAATTCTTCTCATATTTGGTCTGATTGCAAAGTTTTGCAGCTAAAGACAAATATGAGACTGCTTCGTGGCGATAATGATTTTAATAATCAAGAAATTGAAGAATTCGTCAAGTGGATCTTGGATATTGGTGATGGAAAACTAAATATTCATGATACCATAGAAGATGAATTAGAAATTCCAGCGGATTTGCTGATAAGCGGAGAAGGTGATCCTGTTAAGAGAATAGTCTCGGAGATTTATGGTCAATCTTACACAACCACTCGTGAACCAGTTTTTTTTCAGGAAAGGGCAATACTCAGTCTACGGAATCAGGATGTCGACGTTATTAATGAATTCATGCTATCAGAACTCAAAGGTCTTCGTTATATGATTTATCACAATTCCTTTTAATACGTATTTATATTATAATTAAAATATATCAGTACTAACATAGTTTGAATTGTTTTTATTAGGTGAGGAACATGAATACCTTAGTGCCGATAGCATTGATACTTCAGACACAAGCAAAATAGACGAAGTCGTCTATACACAGGAGTATCTTAATAGTATAAAGGTATCAGGGCTGCCAAATCATTCTCTCAAGTTAAAGATAGGAGCTCCAATAATGTTGCTTAGAAATATTGATCCTAAGGGTGGTTTGTGTAATGGTACGAGGTTGCTTATAACTCGGTTAGCTAGGCATGTAATCGAGGCAAGCCATATAACCGGGAAGAAAATAGGAAAAAAGGTTATCATACCTAGAATGTTTGTGTCACCACCAGAAGCAAGGTTTCCTTTTAGAATGCGCCGGAGGCAGTTTCCTATTACCATAGCTTTTGCTATGACTATAAACAAAAGTCAGGGTCAGACTCTACAAAAGGTGGGATTATATTTGCCAAAGCCAGTGTTCTCGCATGGTCAACTTTATGTCGCCGTGTCTAGAGTTACATCACGCCAAGGGTTGAAGATTCTTATTACAGATATGAATGGCAAAGCACAAAAGAAGACAATGAATGTTGTTTACAAAGACGTGTTTGAAAACATTTATAGAAATTCGCGGTTGGTTTGAATAGATTGTTTTGTTTGCTACTAAAAGTATGTTTAGATTACATTGGATATTAGTTATATTATTTTGGTAGTCATTGGTATTTTTAAACTGTTTTATCTTTTAAATTTTGTTATATTTAACTGATTTATTTTTTGGATCTTCTTATATTATGAATTACTGTTCACTATGATAACGTTTTGAATAGCTCTGTTTGTTTGAATTAAAAAATCAGTAAATGATCAGTTGTTATAATATGCTTTTTTTAAGTATATATATTAAACATTATACAAATCAATTTATAAGCTTCCAATTATGGTTTGAATATTACATTTTTTACTCAACAAACTTTCGAAATATGGATCGAATATTAAATTTAAAACACAAAGTTATGTATTACATTCAAAACTAATTACATTCAAAACTAAAAAAACTTTTGAAGAGCATCAGCCCGCGCAGGGCGCGGACCAGCCACCTAGTTTTAATTATTGTTGTCAAGTTTTATTTATTAACTAAAATTTCTACGTTTGGTATTAGCGGCGCGGGTCCCTTATGTTTGGTATCGACTCGTTGTCAATTTTTTTACCGTTTTTGATGTATCTTTTTTGTAAGTAATTTCACATCAATTTTTTATCACTTATATATTTCGTCAGAATTTCTTTAGAAATTAATAAAAATATTTTTCTACCAATAGTTTCGTAGGAATTTTTGTAAGAATATGATATTTTTTCTTGTAGTACAAGGAGAGTCTCCTAACTTGTGTTCGTTTTCAGTTTGTTGGAATAAACTTGATTAAAATTTGAGCAGCAAATTTCCTAAAAAAATTAAGGGTACATATTACTTAGGAGTTATCTAATAGACTTAGAAATTATTTAAGAAAAAGAAAAATTGTATTTCTAATAGGATTAGAATTTATGGAATACTCTCTATATAAGAAAATGTCAAAATTGTGGCATAATTTATGAGTTGAGAGAGAGATTAAGAAGAGCTTTAGGTTTTGAGTTATTTTTATAAAGTTAATAAAAGAAGTGCTTTTATTCTTGATCTAAGTATTCAATTACATTTGGTATCAGAGCAATCAGGGTTAATTAATCAGATTAAGCAAATACGAAGATCATATGAAGCATGGGTGATCTAGTAGCAGCAACAAACAAACCCAAGGAAGGGGGACCATCGTCCATACAATGTCCGATGCTAACCAACACCAATTACACTGTTTGGGCCATGAGAATGAAGGTAGCGCTTAGGGTTCAAAAAGTTTGGGAGATCATCGAACCAGAATCAGATGACGCAGAAAAAACGACTTGGCTCGAGCTCTCATATTCCAGTCTATACCAGAAGCACCAATCTTACAAGTCGGTGACCAAGAAACCTTAAAAGCCGTCTGGGAGTCAGTAAAAATAAGACACATTGGAGCTGATAGAGTCAAGGAAGCCAGGCTACAAACTTTGATGGCTGAATTTGATAGATAAAAGCTGAAAGAAACCAACACAATCGATGATTTTGTTGGTAAGCTTTCAGAGATATCTACAAAATCAGCTGTCTTGGGAGAAACCATTGAAGAACCAAAAATTGTCAAGAAGTTTCTTAAAAGTCTACCAAGAAAACGATACATACATATTGTTGCAGCCCTGGAACAAGTTCTTGATCTCAATAAATCAAGCTTTGAAGATATTGTGGGAGATTAAAGACTTATAAGGAAAGAACTTGCGAGGAAGAAGAGTCGCAGGAAGATCAGGGGAAACTTATGTATGCTAGTATGGACTCGCAAAAGGATTAAGAATCTCAAGGAGGAGGCAGAGGTAGAGGAGGAGGACGTTTCGGACGAGGAAGAGGACGTGGTCGCTTTGGTAATCAACAAAGGGATAAATCAAAGATTGTGTGCTACAGATGCAACAAAACAGGGCACTACGCGTCGGTTTGCCTCCACAGATTGCTCAAACTTCAGGAAACACAGGAAAATAAAGACGATGACTCACAAGAGGCTGAAGATCTCATGATGCATGAAGTAGTCTTTCTTAACAAAAGAAAAGTGAAGCCAAGTGAGGTCGAATCAGGTTCAGATAAGCTATGGTATATAGACAACGGGGCGAGTAACCACATGACCGGGAATCAAAATTGCTTCTCCAAGATTGACGAGACCGTCACGGGAAAAGTAAGGTTCGGCGATGATTCATGCATCGACATAAAAGACAAGGATCAATTGTCTATTTATGTCAAAACGGTGAAAGAAAAGTCTTGACCAATGTCTATTTCATACCAGATCTGAAGAACAATATTATAAGTCTTGGTCAGACTATAGAGTCTGGATGTGAAGTCAGCATGAAGGAGGACTATTTGACCTTATATGACAGAGAAGGTAAACTATTGGTGAACCGGTTATACAGGTCAATATGGAGGCCGATGTTACTAAGTGTCTGCAGCTTAAAGCGATAAGCGATTCTAAATGGCACTCGCGTTTAGGATATATTAGTTTTGAAACTATAAAGACGATGATAAAAAAGGAACTTGTTATCGGGATCTCAAGTGTTCCAAAAGGAACATGTACTTCATGCTTGCTTGGAAAACAAGTCAGACGAGTTTTCCTCAAGCAACCTCATATCGTGCCACAAGGATGCTTGAACTGATACATAGAAATCTCTGCGGACCTATACCTCCCACAGCAGCACAGAATATGTATATTTTTGTGCTAATCGACGAACATTCTCACTACATGTGGTCGCTCCTCTTGAAAGAAAAAAGTGATGCCTTTGAGAAGTTTTAGAGATTCAGAGCGATTGTTGAAAAGGAGACAGGAGCTACTATCAAGATATTTCAGACAGACAGAGGAGGCGAGTTTGTTAGGCACCTAACCGCATCCTACTCACCTAAACAAAACGAAGTTGTTGAAAGGCGAAATAGGACACTGATGGATATGACTAGAAGTATCCTAAAACACATGAGTATACCGAATTATCTGTGGGGAGAAGCAGTTAGACACACCACCTATCTCATCAACAGAGTTGCAACTCGATCTTTAGCAGCAAAAACTCCATACGAAGCTTTCAAAGGGAAAAGACCAAACGTTTAACACTTGCGAGTGTTTGGATGCATAGCTTATGCAAAGATAGAAGCTCCACATCTTAAGAAGCTGTACGACAGAGCATGGATGCTTGTTCACTGTGGAACATAACCTAGAACAAAAGCTCATCGACTTTTGGATCCAACAAGTCGCAAAATTGTAGTGAACAGGGATGTGGTCTTCGATGAGAATACAATTTGGAAGTGGAGTAACCTAGGAAGGGAAAATAATCGAGAACCAAGAATGTTTTTCCTCAGCTTCAGAGATTTTGTCGACCATGGGATAAGAGAGGACGAAGAAACCATTGAAACAGAGGAAAACAGAGTCATAGACGAAAACAGAGTCGAAGATGGAAACGAGGGCTCTGTAGCTGAGAAAGGAACCGAAGAGGGAGAAGATTCTCCTAATATCGAAACAGAAAACACCAGACAAGATCAGTAAGCTCAAGGACCCTTGAGAAGATCAACTAGACAAATTGGAAGACCAGAGTATCTGAACGATTTTGTGTGTCTAGCAGAGATAGATCATGAATGCGAATATACTCTTCTAGCCATAAATGAGGAGCCATGGGATGTCAAAGAGGCAAGCAAAACAAAAGCTTGGAGAGAAGCTTGCAAAGAAGAAATGTCGTCCATAATCAAAAACAACACATGGAGCTTGGTTGATCTTCCCATAGGGGCTAAACCAATCGGATTGAAGTGGGTTTTTAAACTCAAACGCAACTCTGATGGCAGCATCAATAAGTACAAAGCGAGGCTAGTGGCAAAAGGATATGTACAAAGACATGGGATAAATTTTGATGAGGTGTTTGCTCCGGTGGCTCATATTGAAACGGTTCGGTTCATCATCTCTTTAGCAGCTTCCAGCGGTTGGGAAGTGCTTCATTTTGACGTGAAAACTGTGTTTCTTCACACTGAACTAAAGGAAGAGGTTTATGTTACTCAGCCTGAGGGTTTTGTAACCAAAGGGAGTGAAAAGAAGGTGTATAACTTGCATAAGGCACTCTATGGAAGCGCCAAGGGCATGGAATAACAAGCTTAATAAAATTCTGAGAGAACTGAACTTTGTGAATGCTCAAAAGAACCCTATTTATATCGGAAAAGGGATAAATTGGATCGTCGTCTTGTGGCAGTCTATGTGGAGGACCTACTAGTTACATGATCTAGTTTGAGTACAATCCTTGAGTTCAAGAAAGGAATGGCAGCTAGGTTTGAGATGAGCGATCTTGGAAAATTACCTATTACCTAGGAATTGAGGTACTGCAGCACTAGAATGGCATTATGCTAAAGCAAGAGAGGTATGCAACAAAGATCCTAGAAGAAGCTGGGATGAGTGGTTGTAATGCAGCACATATACCCGATGGATTGAGATCTAAGATTGTCTAAAGCTCAAGAAGAAAAAGGTAGAGCAAGACTATAAAAGGAACAATGGCTGTCTTAGATTTTTGTTTCATACTTGGCCAGACCTCTCCTACAGTGTCGGCATCTTGAGCAGGTATATGCAGGAGCCAAAAGAGTCCCATGGAGCAGCGTTGAAACATGTCCTAAGGTATCTCAAAGGAACCTTAGCTCACGGTCTTTCATTCAAGCGTGGAACCAAACCAGGTTTGGTAGGATATAGCGACAGCAGCCATAATATAGACTTAGACAATGGGAAGAGTTTATCTTCATGAATTCCCAATTACTTGGTGTTTACAGAAGCAAGAAATTGTTGCTCTTTTATCTTGTGAGGCAGAGCAGCCAAGCAAGCAATTTGGTTACAAGAAGTTCTTGGTGAAATCATCGGATCAACATGTGAGAATGTAACTCTCCAGGTTGACAACAAATCTGCTATTTCACTCACCAAAAATCCAGTGTTTCATGGTCACATTAAGCATATCCATTGAAGATATCATTTTATACGAGTGTGTAGAAAATGTGTAAGTCGAGATGGAGCATGTTCCTGGAGCAGAGCAGAAGGCAGATGTTTTAACCAATGCACTTGGATGAATCAAATTCAAGGAGATGAGAGATCTCATTGGGGTTCAAGACTTTTCAAAAGTTGATTTCAAACTTAAGGAGGAGAATGTTGGAATAAGCTTGATTAAAACTTGAGCAACAAGTTTTCTAAAGAGATTAGGAATACATATTATTTAGAATTTATCTAATAGACTTAAGAGTTATGTAGGAAAAAAAATTGAATTTCTAATAGGATTAGGATTTATGGAATACTCTCTATATAAAAAAGAGATGTCAAAGTTGTGGCATAACTTATGAGAGAGATTAAGAAGAGTTTTAAGTTTTGAGTTATTTTCCTAAAGTTAATAAAAAAAATGCTTTTATTCTTGATCTAAGTATTCAATTCTATACATTTCTTTTGTGTTGTTTTTTCTATAAATTCTTTTTATTCTTCTTTGTACATAATGTCTTTATACATCGTAACAAGTATCAATATCAAGCATGAGTGTTCTTGGGTAATTTTTATTGTTATAAAGCTTATATAATGTAATTACTTATGTATTTAGAGACAGCCAATGCAGAAATGTTCATTCTACAATTACAAAGACATGTTTTTATTTTAATATGCTAGGCCTAATTAATATTATGGATGAGCCTAATAAATTTATTTTTTTCTTTTGAACTCGACTAATAATCAAAATGTTTTCTCTTCAGCTAAACACTAATTGGTGTTTCTCCCTACTTACATGTTACATTTTTTTTGTCAACTATATCATTAAAAACCCAATAAAACGGGTCAATGATTACAACATTTGAGTGTATCAACCCCAACATTACAATCCACAACATAAACCCATTTACACAAGCCCATCATAAAACCCAAAACATAAAGAAAAGATTGAAATGCATGAGTAACACGTGGCTACACGTGTAACATCAATAGGGTTAACGGAAAATCCACCACCGCTGTCAGATTCTGGCAGCTCCGGTACAACAACGTCGACTCTCCAAAAAACATGAGTCATCGAAGATCAAAGCCGACTTGTTATCTCCGAATATTGCTAAATCTTTTGCAGTAAAACACGGAAGATGAAGAGCGAACAGATCTCCATTTCTCGGAGCCTTTAAACTCACAGAAGATTGGATTAGACTACTCCTCAGAAAATCATCAAACTCGACGAAGAATTCCAATTCACTGTACTCCAACCCAAATCAATCTGAAAAACTTTGAAACTAACCACTATGGAGAAACTTCACCTTTTGATAATCAAACCAACAAGGTGACGGAGATTGACTCTCACATGGAAGAAAGAACAAAGAAATCCAATGAAGATAGAGAACCTCTCTCACAGCTGGGGATTGACAGCTTCCGACCAAGTCGAAAGGCCTTTAAAGCATGCAAAAGAGTAAAACTAGAAGGAAAAAAACAACAAAAAGTGCCGAACAGAGTTGGAAATGAAACCGAACTAATCAGACTTATTAAACTCCTGATGAGACCAGAAAGATTCACCAATATTAATTGGAATTACACCAAAAAGGAGAAAAGCGCTCTCTCTCTATCTCTCTCTAAAAGATGAAAGTGAGAGAAGAGAGACAAGTTACAATTAAAAAAAAGTTTTTATTTGTCGACGAAGAACAACTACACATTCAGAAGAATAAGAAAAACGAAATTACCAGCAAAAAAAAGAAAGTATAAACGGGTATTTTTTGATTGAGGAAAAAAGCTTAAAAATTTTTCAACTATTTAATATTTGCCAGTTTCCTATCCAACCTTTTTGCGTTGCCAGAAACCTACGCAAACTAATTTTTTAGATAAAAAAATACCTAAAATATTTTATAGTTCTAGTTTCCATCCCACAATTTCACGGCCGTCAACGATAAAACAGAATTAGTAAACGTCGCTATTTTCCAAAAAAAAAAAAACTCAACTATTTAATTTTTGCTAGAAAAATATTCCAACTTTTAATGTTGCCAAAAACCTACCGGAGCTAATTATCTGTGTAAAAAAAACCTGAAATATTATACGGTTTCAGCTTCTACTCCACGACTTCACATCCACTGATGGTTATTCCCAGCTTCAATCGCTGATGGTTATTCATTTGGTATTGGTGAGTTTCTCATCGTAGACCACATCTATTCAAAATGGTTATTTGAATATAGGCTCCTAATTAATCGACTCTTTCGAACAGTAATCTTAGTGGCTCATACTAGAGTAATAAATATAAATTAGCAGGTGATCAACTG